ATAGTTTAGTGATACTATAGATACTTTAGAATGCAATAGTTTAGTGATACTATAGACACTTTAGAATGTAATAGTTTAGTGATACTATAGATACTTTAGAATGCAATAGTTTAGTGATACTATAGACACTTTAGAATGCAATAGTTTAGTGATACTATAGACACTTTAGAATGCAACAGTTTATTGATACTATAGACACTTTAGAATGCAAAAGTTTAGTGATACTGATAAAAAGTAAAGAAAACGGTATTGTTAGCATTCGAAGAAGAATATAGAGCAAATATATTGGTAATCACAAATGAAAAAGTGTTTTTAACGTCAGAGAAAACAGGACTATAAAGTATACGTCAATCTGAAGAATGAGTCATACATTTCAAGGTAGCTCAAATACAATACCAAGCTAATCTAGCTTTAATCATGTGCTCTCTTGAATCATTACGACTGGTTTCTAGAGTATGACGAACACCAAAAACGTAATTTTTCAAATCAAACTTCAATCGTTTTGTTCAAGTTTAATTTATTTTCCAAAATTTCACCCTAGTGCTCAGTTTGTAATCTATAAAGTATTGGGTACGGCATGCAAAGAGATATCTCACAACACCTTTATTTTGTAACATCTATCCTATCAGGTGCTAAGATTTCAACTATCCAAACTCCTGACACTTTACCATGCCCGGAATGTTTGGATCAAAGATTCAGCTTTTAACAATCAGAATTTTTGATGTTTGACCATGAACAGAATTTTTTGATTAAATATTCAGCTTTTAACCATCCAAACTTCTGACACTTTGATACGTCCGAAATTTGTGGATCCAAAATTTAGCTTTTAATTACCGGAACTCCAGACACTTTACTGTATCTAGGATTTTTGGAACAAACGTTTATCTTTTAACTACCAAAACTCCTGAAACTTCACCTGTTTAGACCTTTTCAATCAAGCAACAGATAACATCTTTAGGTTTTTAGTCACATGGTTTATGACTCAATATATTTTCAGGTCTTAGAATGTTTAATAATGGATATATCATGGACAGTATTCTAAAGCTTTAGGACTGACAATTTTGTTCTAAACTTTATTGTGTCCAGACCTTTCAGCACCTACACCCATTCTCTAAATACCACACATTCTTGGCATTCCACAGTTGCGGATATCAAAAACACAAGATAAATAAATCATCAACAAGCTACGACTGTCCCACGCAACCATTTTGTCACTCTCACGTTAACCACTGCATTTGTAAGGTTGTACAATACAGACATCCGTAAAAACACAGACAAACGTTTCATTGGTTCCTTCCAAAGTTCATAAAAACAATGCTGTTTGGATAAAAAAAAATTAACTGAGGTCGTTTTTAGGTACTTGGTTAAACGTTTATTTCCGACAGTGATTTGATTAATAATATTTTTCTGACAATGTTTTAAAATGTCAAATACTTGGTTTGATTAACAATATTTTTCTTCCACCGTTTTAAAATGTCGAATATGTGGTTTGATTAACGATATTTTTCTGACAATGTTTTTAAATGTCGAATACGTGGTTTGATTAACAATATTTTTCTGGCAATGTTTTAAAATGTCAAATACTTGGTTTGCTTAACAATATTTTTCTGCCTCTGTTTTAAAATGTCAAACACTTGGTTTGATTAACAATATTTTGCTGAAATGTTTTAAAATGTCTAATACGTGGTTTGATTAACAATATTTTTCTGACAATGTTTTTAAATGTCGAATACATGGTTTGATTAACAGTGTTTTTCTGCCTCTGTTTTAAAATGTCAAACACTTGGTTTGATTAACGATATTTTTCTGACAATGTTTTAAAATGTCTAATACTTGGTTTGGTTAACAATACTTTTCTGAAAATGTTTTTAAATATCTAATACGTGGTTTGATTAACAGTGTTTTTCTGCCTCTGTTTTAAAATGTCAAATACTTGGTTTGATTAATAATATTTTGCTGACAGTGTTTTTAAATGTCTAATTCTAATACTTGGTTTGGTTAAAAAATCTTCTGCCACTGTTTTAAAATGTCTAATACTTGGTTTGGTTAACAATACTTTTCTGAAAATGTTTTTAAATATCTAATACGTGGTTTGATTAACAGTGTTTTTCTGCCTCTGTTTTAAAATGTCAAATACTTGGTTTGATTAATAATATTTTGCTGACAGTGTTTTTAAATGTCTAATTCTAATACTTGGTTTGGTTAAAAAATCTTCTGCCACTGTTTTAAAATATCAAATACTTGGTTTGATTAACAATACTTTTCTGACAGTGTTTTTAAATGTCTAATACTTGGTTTGGTTAACAATATTTTTCTGCCTCTGTTTTAAAAATGTCAAACACTTGGTTTGATTAACAATATTTTG